TTTAATAGGATATAATATACAGAACATAGCAAATATAACAGACACGAGCTTAATTAATCCTTATGACAACTTTGCAAGTTATGTACTATTATCATCTTTTAGATGTATTGCCAGAACTGAAGCTTAGAAAGGTTAAGTAAATTGTCTAAAGTCACACAGCAAGTGAGAATGTTCAAGCATGGTTTAGGTTTGACTGGAGAACAAGGCATTCGATTATTAGTGCTTGTAAAATTTGGTGCCTGAATTTCAGATGGACAGGCCTTAATGTTGGATTTTTTTTTTTTTTTGAGAGGTTTTTGCTATAGGGCGCGTGCGCTCGCCAGACAGACAGAGAGAGACAGAGAGACAGAAAGCAGGAAATCACCCCCCAGGGGGGATGGCCACGCCGCAATCCCTTCTCCTCCATTCTCCTCTCGGGATCTTGGGCACGCACGCACACGCGCCCGGCGTGAGTTTAAGCCACCGGGTCCGGGACTCGAACCGCGGTCGACTACATGGGAGTCCAGCAACATAGCCATTACGCTAACTGCTGGTCCCTTAATGTTGGATTATTAAGTCTGAACTTTATTAAAGCACAGTCAGTCACTGGCAAGACTACTGTGGCAGCAAATTTTCAGAGGTGGAAGAGAGAATTCACATAGTTCCAGGTATCTCAACTTTGACACTAGTGACAGTTGGGGTCTGATAATAATTTGCTGTTGGGACCATCCGGTATGTTACAGGATGTTTAGCAGCATCTCTGACCTCAACCCACTAGAAACTGGCAGCACTAGACTTCCTAACATCCATTTAAGAACCGAGTTGATCCAGCTTGGTGGTAGTCAGGAACAACACTGAACCACAGTGCCGGAAGCCACATGGCTGACCAGTTTTGATCTTCCTAGTTAACCTGAAATAAGCCAGTTGTACACATGTAGGCATGAGATCCTGACATGTTGAAGAGTGGGTGGGATCCTGGTGAGGAGATCCTGTCAAAGGTGCCTCCCCCTTTCCCTTGTGCAAGTGCTCTCCACCATAAACAAAACAAAGTCATTTTGGAAGTAGATTTGACAGGATTTTACAATGGATGAAAAGAGAAGTTTCCATTCTTAGAAAGTCTCAATTATTATTATTTATCTCTTAAGAATCAGAAAGAATGAACCAGC